AGATGGCAAACCTTTCCTCCAGAAGGAACCAATGAAACTGCAGGACAAAAAGTTCTATTCAAGAAGGGAACAAGAAGAAGGGGAAAAAAGATCAACAATCCTAGGTAAAGCTAAAACAAATGTGTATCATCTGTGATATATTTTTACATGTCTGAATGAACGACTGCCCCAAATCTCTGTAAACTACAACCCTTCACGAACTTCGGTTCAAACCAATGAACACAAGCACACCCCAGCATCATTACGAGGGGGCCCAGCCAAAGACAGCTGTGAGAAGGCAAAGAAAGATAGGCTGGCAGGTGCCATCCCTGGCTGTGACTCTGCAGTAGTGTGAGAGGAAGAAAGCCAGAGAAAGGGAACACGCTCAACGAGCAGAGAAACATCAAGAAGGCTGACAGTTTTAGAACTAGAGATGGCTGTGAGTAGCTAATTATACATCCCCAAAAAGGTATTTGCTGGTACCCTCTACAAGCTTGAGATAAGTAATTAGGGTGTTTCTTGGGCCAGGATAAGGGACAGATTGCCAGCTTGGAGCATCTGCCGGACCAGTCCTTAGTGAATGAACCCAGGGGTTGGGAGGAGGCACTCCCTGAATGAGAGAGAATTCAAGCATCGCCCCTCGAAGCCTGTCCTCCTAGGGTTTGTGGATATCTTTGGGCAAGTGTGGAAGATTGCTGCTCTCTGGACCTGGGGGAAATGCCTGTGATTCTAGAGGACAAAACAAAAAAACCTCAAGACAACTGTAGGGAAACACACATGCGGGGCCAAACTGTTGGGACACAGGTGACACTGACTTCTCACTCCCAGGGTAGAAGCAGCACTTTGGCCTATATTTGAGATCCAGGTAGAGAGATTGGGGGAGGTGGAAGGGTCGGCGGGGGTGGGGGGTGGCAGAGGATGAGCAGGGTAGAATGGGGAGTGGAGGGCAGAGTTTGGAGCAGCAAGGGTTGGGTAGGAAGAGGTTGGTGGGGGTGGGAGTGGAGTGGGTGGGGGTGAGGAGAGAGTGTAGGTATATGCCCTGCAGAGTACAAGTCAGAGAGGCCCTGGGGTCCAAGGGAGCAGAATTAGGGAGAGACTGCAGTTGGGGGTGCCTGTGACTGGAAGGAGAGCAGGAGCACCAGTTCCTCTGTGAGGTGGCTCACTGAGGGCTGACTGGGGGGTAGAAGTGTGTCTGGAGGGCCAATGAGGAGGCAGCCGAAGAAAAGGTCATGAGGCTACATGGGACCTTTGCTCATGCCAGGTGAAGGGCGTAGTGACAAGACTTCCTCAGGCCCTCACTAGCCTGCTGAAACTTCCGAAGCCACTGGCTGGCTTGCTCCTCCTGGCTTGACAAGAAGGCCTGGGGCTGTGCTTGGAAGCTGCTGCCTGGCCCTGGGGCCATGAGGGCCAGCAGGTGTACAGCAGCAGCACCTGGCTCCCTGCTTCCCCCTGCCTCTGCAGACTGGGCTCCTCACCCCCAGCGGGGGCCTCCCCTGCAGGCCTCAATCCCTGCTCTAGGCCCTGTATGGCTCCCCTCACCCCAGGTCATCGGCCCTCTTCTTTTCCCTCACAGCTAAGGCATCTCCTCCACGCTAATCTTCTGGTGGTGGTGCCTGGGAGCAGGTACAGGGCACGAGGGGGTGCGTAACCCAAAGTGGACTCAAAGAAAAACTGAATAATACAATTCAACAGATAACTAATGTTTGCAGCACATGGCTAAGAATGGCAGTGGGTGACCGTGTTGAGGGAGCAGAGCCAACTGGAAGACTTAGGGTCTTGGTCAACACGTTTGGGTAGTTATGTGTTTGATTTAGTTGGGTTTCTGAAACTTCAATTAGGAGCACAAGTGTGAAAGAATCCAGAGGAGGGGCAAAGTGTCCACACCTCCTCCTCTCAATATCCTGGTGTTCTTTCAGGGAGAATTGAGAAGGAGGCAAATGGACATAGCAACAAGCACTGATAGGTATTTCAGCACTTATTGAGCACCTCCAATGTGGTGACTGTGCCACATGTGGGAGGCTCAGTGCTGCCATTTCCCTCATTCTAAAACGCCATTGATGATAGGACGCTCAGGCTATCTAAAAACGGCTTTTGAGAGAAAAAGAAAATCTGAGGACTTTAAATGCACCACGAATTTATCTCAGTGTGAGAAAAACTGAAACTTAGAAGTGAAGAAAGAAAGTGTATTAAGTGTAGGTCTCTCCACAGCCCTGAGAAGAATCATCCCTACTGTACGGATGAGTAGACTGAGACGGGGAAGGTTTTGCCACTTGCTCAAGGCCACAGAGCCAGGAAGTAGCAGTCAGGATTGGCACCCAGGTTGGCCCGTGCTCAGAGCTAGAACAGTTTCTCCTCAGGCACAAGACCCCTCCGCGAGACTGGGCTTTGTCAGCTTTCTCCTGGCCCCTGGATCTGTCTCTACCCTTCGACCATCCACACCCCCTCCCCCACCCTCTAAGCTATGGAGATTTCCATGAGGAGAAAGTAATTCATGGGGGGAGAAAAGGTACAAAATAGTCAAATTACATTCTTCAGATTCAAATAGAGTCTTTAAAAGGGTAAAAACCATGCATGCCAGGTTTTGCTGTGCGCTGCAGGAAGTCGATGAATTCAAGGATCCCTGTATTGCTGAAAATAGAATTGTAAAAAATAAAAGGGGTGGGGGGAGAAAGTGAACGAAACTAATCCTATTAAACGTGGTAGCATGTTTTTGTGGCACGCAGGGAGAGATTAAGCACAGGAAAGGGGATAAGTGCGGCTTCAGTTTCACTAAACTAATGTGACAACTTGTCATTGGAAATCTTTGCAGCTTGTTAGTAGATGACTAGCTGATTCAGAAGTGTTTTCTATCATTCCCTTTGTGTCTCCCGTGAGGTGTTTTCTTTTTTTTTTTTTTTTAATTTTCTTTCTTTTCCTGTTTCTTTCTTACTCATGCTGGTCTATTTTGCTTTTTAATCCTTCGTGTCTCCTTCAAGTCAAAACATTTAGCTGGCTCTAATCAAGATTGGGTTTTGAAGATGCCCTTTGACCTCGAGTGGCCCGGAGAAGCCCTGGAGGGGGACTGCCCTCCAATCCCCAGCCCAGGGTCGGTCTTGGGGCTGGAAAACCCGAGCTTCTGGCTAACACTCGCATTTCAGATTTTATTTTTCAACGGCCCTTTCCCCCTCCCCCCCCCTTCCTTCTTATTCTAACCTCTTATTCTCTCCCATTTGCCTTGCATTTCCAGGCTTCTGGTTTGGTTTCCACCTAACCCCCTTGCTCACTTTCCCTTTCTTTTCTCTTTAGTAACTTCTTTCCCTTACCTGCTCACTTTACCTCTTCTCTTTCATCTCTCTTAGAATTTCTTTTCCCTTTTCAGCGCACCCCAAAGAACTTTCTTAGTCTTTCTTTCCTTCTGAGAAGACAGCTGGATACGTAGAGAAAAGTTGTGAATCCCTTATGGTAGTTTCCACGTTGAGGTAACCCCCGCCGGAGGGGGCAGGATCCTGGGGGGCCCTCCTCCCCCAGGGCCTATCACAGATCTGCAGGGAACAAAAGGCTGATCTCAATCAAGAGGAAGCAAGAATTCTAGGCTCGGGCACTGTCTTTCCAAAGCAGGTGTCTAGCGTGTTTGGAAATAACGGCTGACCAGCCCTCTGTCTCTGGCTTTGGCCTGGCTCCCTCCCCCGCTCTTACTTTCCCCACTGGCTGACCACCAGAGGCGAGATGTTGAGTCAATGGAAAAACAACATTCGCCAACATTAAAGGGAGACTGTTTGGAAAAGGAAGGCCCTGCAGAGGTGCAGAGGAAGCCTGTACATTAACACGGGCCACCTCTTATCTGGGGCAGCTGGGCCCAAGCCGCCCGTGCTGATTCCCTGGATTTGCCAAGAGACCTTCAGCAGAGAGGCCAGGCCGCCTTGCAGGGGCGGGGTGGGGAGGGTGGGGGGGCGCTGATCCCCATCCAGAAGCAGAGCATCACCAGCACTTTTAGAGACAAAAAGGCCTTGCTTTTCTCCCAGGGACTTAATGGGGGAAACCTGCATCAATAAGCAAAGTCTTGCAAAAGGCAGCAGTTCTCTGGGCCTTTGTCCCTGGACGCTGCTCACTGTTCCTCACCCGAAACCCAGCCCCTAGGCCCCTCTTCAGTCCTCAGTCCTTTTGAAGACTCTCAAGTGCTGTAAGGACCGACCATTCTGACCTGAATGTGAATTATAGGGAGAGACAAGCTAAAGTGACCCAAAGGAGAATTAGAAAAAGAGAGAGAGAGAAACAAACCAAAAACCACGTGGGTAGGTTCACCCCGGCTCTAAATTGCTTACCGTTAAGTCTTGAGCCAGCTCCTGATGGAAAGATAAGGTAAATCCTTAATCAGTCAATAATTAACCGAAGCTCCATTAATGGTCTAGTCAACCAAATCCTGCTGACACCTTCAGAACCCTGCTTCAGTGGGAGGGTTAGCTGGAACCTTTCAATAGACCCCACTCATAGATCACACATAGAAAGAGGTGTAAAGTTCTGTTTTTACCTGCCAGTGAAGTCTTTTCTTAGGCTCACTTCTTTGGATGACTTCTGCAGATTTCACTTTTGGAAATCTCGGTGTGTGTGTGTGTGTGTGTGTGTGTGTGTGTGTGTGTGTGTCTTGTCTGTGTTGTGTATGAAACAGCTTGGAGATCCATTCTGGTTCCAGGTCCATTTGAGTCAAATCCCAGATGTGTTCTGATCGTTACTACCTCACTTTTCCTAGAGGACCATATCTTTTCTTTCCTGCTTTCCTCATCAGTTTGTAGTTTATTCCCAGTGTCTGTGGATATTCCTATTCTTAGGTTCTCAATGTCAATGCCTCTTCAATTTGTGGTAAAAGCAGAAACGCATCTTAAGGGATAAACAACCACGTAGCCCTACCAAAGCATGGAAATAATTTTTTCGATTTTAAATAAGTAGAAGTTTAAGGGACTAATAAATATTGATTTTGGTCTTTCTGGTAGATCAAGTTATTTTTACTTCCTACAGAAGCAGATTTTTAGGAAGAGGGGCTTAGGTCTTAAATTGTTTTTAATTTCATTTTTTTTCTTTTGCTTTGCTTTGTTGTTCTGTACAGCATCTAGTGTGTTTTGATATGCTGTTAGTTATACTATTAGATGAAAAAAAAATCAGTATTTAAATGTGATTTGAATTTTTCCTAAGGTCAAGCTGTAGGTCAAGACTGGATGCCAGTCCATGAACTTTCTCTTAATTTTGTCTACTCAAGGCATTTGAAAAAGCTGTAGGTCACGACTGGATGCCAGTCCATGAACTTTCTCTTAATTTTGTCTACTCAAGGCATTTGAAAAACAAGTTCTTGGGGTTCCTGGGTGGCTCAGTTGGTTTAGTCCCTACTTTCAGCTTAGGTCATGACCCTGGGGTCCCGGGATCGAGCCCCATGTCAGGCTCCCTGCTCAGTGGGGAGTCTGCTCTCTCTCTCTCTCTCTCTCAAGTAGATAAATAAAATCTTTCAAAAAAAAAAGAAAAGAAAAATATATTCTTTTAGATACTGAGGAAGTGGGGTACAAAAGTAGTGGTTTGATATGAACCCATCTCTGTCCCAGGAGAAAAATAACAAAAATTGAATGCTTGGTTACTAAGGTATCAGTGGTGTTATTCCTGCATGTCGGAGATGGTTCATCCATTTACACTTTTGTTGGTCCCACAGCTCAGCCTCTGTGATCACCAACACATCATTCTCCCCTCCTAATAGAACTCAGTAGTCTGGGTGCTCAATTAATCCTTGGCTGCTTGGGGGAGTTGCCAATGAGTGGAATTTCTGCCAATGATCTGTAACACCCTTTTCAACAAACATTAATTGAATGACATTTCTTTTTTCCTCAAACCATCCATCTGTCCTTTCTTATGCAACATTTGAGTTTTAAAAGGGTAGAAGGCAAGCTTTCTTTTGGTCACACGTTTGACTTAAGAAGATAATCTCTGAATTAAAAAATATGACCTACTACAGCCTTTTAAATAAGTCTAGAAGATTCACCAGCCTGAAGCAACATGTTAAATATAAAACTCATTAGATCCAGCCTTCTTTTTCTGTTTGCTCATTAAAACTTCCTGCTCCCATGAAGGAAGTTGGTAAATGGCTCAATTCAATGTTGCTATGATCATTTGGGGGTACAAGTGGGAATGGGACAGGTAAGAAGAAAAACAGTGAGGAATTTTTTAAAAACTAGTCATTTAATTTGCAGGTAAACAAATCTAGGACCCAGTTTTCTTGCGTTTTATGTTAACTTTCGATTGTTTTAAAATATCAAAAAGTATCTCACCTATAAGAGTGCTGTTAAGTAAAGCAGAGGACATACATCAACTTGTCTGTGTGGTCATGTTGCTTGGATATTAAAATGAGCTTTTTAAAAAACGGGACTAGAATCTATTTCCCAACAAGTTGAAAGGTTTCTATAATTACACTAATAATTTTGGGGTATCATATTAATGAGGATAGGGAGATGTAGACCTTGACATTGGCATGTTTAGTTACATTCACTATGAAAAAATGTTGTTTACCCCTCGAGAATTTCTTAAGAAAAAGAAAAATCAATCTCCATCAATGAGCAATATTTTTCTCCCCAAGGGATATTGATTTGAACATTGACTTCACAATGGGTGAGTTATTTCCCTCAGACCCCCTGTTATGAATTGTTAGGTGACATGTCTTTTATGAGCCAATAAACCTGCTGTTTCTAGTATAGTAATCTTGTCGGGGAGATTCCAACTTCTGAGTTGTGACTGGTTTGGAATATTTCGGCTTTTGTGTGTTTGCGATAAGTATTTCTATGGGATGTAGTCCAAGTTTAAAAAGCAATATCTCTCATCTTTCTTCCTTTTTTAAATGGAATATAGCTTTTTTCGATCATTCTGAGGGAAAATCAGGTGTCAGTGAATAATTCTCTTTTTTGCTTGCTCCTCAACTGCATGTCCTCTCAGCTTGTGCATAGCCCCGTGACTCATGTGTAGTCATAGAAATGTCTTCACGATTCCTTTTTCTCTCTTTATGTAATGGTACAATATTGGTATGTTTAATTTTGAAAATAAACCAGATTCTCAATTTACCAGAGAAACCAGTATGTAGAGGAACATTGTGGTGAATGGAAGCAGGGGAAAGGATAGGTGGGGTCAAATTTTTGTTAACATGAACGCTCATTCTTCAATTTATCTGTTAGGATTTGTGTATAATGTATTTTCTTAATGAGCTTCTTAAAAGGTGAATTTAGAATTTATATTAGATCGCCTTTGAGTTTATTCATCCATCCATTTATTCTTGAACAAATATTAATTTACACCCGTATCATGTGCCAGACACCGTGCTCTGCATTGACAATAATGATAAGTAAGACCCATCTGAGGCAGTCACAGTGTGGTTGAGAAGACATTAGGTCTGATAGTTATGAATACATGTTGACACAAAATACTTTAGGAGCCTCTAGACTTAGCTTCATGGAAGCTGGGAGTATCAAGGAAGCCTTCAGGGAGAAGGTGAGCATAAGCCTAGTTAATTAATCAGGCCACGGGCTTAGGAGAGGAACAGAAGTGCGGGTCCCTGTTGCATAGTGAGAGAAATCTTAAGCAAATCACTGTACCTCTCTGAGCCTTAGTTTCCTTGTCTGCCAACTGGGCATAATCACACTTGCCTAATGAGATTGTTGTAGAGATTAAATGAGAATGCATGGAAAGGCCTCAATACTGTGTACAAAGTAGGCACTCCATAAACGTTTGCTGCAGAGGTATAGTAAAGTGACATTATAGCACACCCTAATATCAATCCAACAAATATTTATTGGGCACTGACCCGGTGTCATGTCCTGGATGAGACACCAACAGCGTCAGGAGACACCATGAGGATGGAGTGAGGGATAGGAATGACAGGCAGCTCGTGTAGGGATGGGGGAGACACACTGCTTCTGTGCTTGGCAAGCCAGAGGAGGTCTCTTACTGTGGAGTTCAGAGTGCCAGAGGAGGCCTGGTGGATGAAGAGGCAGCCAAAGTTTGTCCTGCTAGACCAGGAAGGGCCTGATGTAGCCATGATGGCCTCAACACAGGAAAGAGACAAGCAGAACTTGTTCATTTGTGATTTCTCAGTTTCCTTTAGGTTTTCCATGGGTAGTCATTGCCCTTCTGTAGCTAGATTACAATTTCTTAGGAAACCCCCACCCCCCAAGATTCTCACCTGTTTGCTGTTGCCAGTTATAATGTGGTGCCTCTGGTATATGCCCAACAAACATGGCTAGATCTTTATACTTGCCTCTTCTCCACATGCTGAAATATTCCAGTTGGTTCTTACGCCCAGTCAGTTTCAGAATGCTCAGATTTAAAGGCTTGCTTTTGTGCTTATTAAAGAGATTCATGAATTGGGAATTGTGATCATGTCACTGCCTAAAACTCTTCATATTGCTCTTAGGATAAAGTCCAAAATCCTGAATGTGCCTGACAAGACTTTGCATAATCTGGCTCCTGTCCTGGGCTCCTGCCTCATCTCCTGGAACTGCCCATCCTCCCAGAATCTTTTGATCTTTTAGTGCCACTAACGCCCTTATACGTATGTTGCTGCTGTGTGTGCAAGCTCTCCCCAAACCGCTCCTCCAGACGAGCTCCTTTCTTTCGGGTCCCACTTCAAAGTCCTTTGTGCAGGAAAGGCCTCCCTCATTTCTTAGGTTAGACACTGGAAGAATACAGGCTCACATCACGTAAAGTTTTCTTTTATTCTGCTTACCACAAGTGAAATTAATTATTTGAATGTAAGCCTTATTCATCCAACAGATATCCTCTGAGATCTTAATGTGGCCTACATGTTGGGACTACCACACAGGAAGACAGAGTCTCTGCCCATGGAGCTCGTGAGTGAGGCAGTGAGCAAGAAGCAAATATAGGGATGCCTGGGTGGCTCAGCAGTTAAGCATCTGCCGTTGGCTCAGGGTGTGATCACGCATTCCTAGGATCGAGTCCCACGTCAAGCTCCCTGCATAGGGCCTGCTTCTCCCTCTGCCTGTGTCTCTGCCTCTCTCTTTCTCTCTCTCATAAATAAGTGTCCCCCATGAATAAGTAAATAAAATCTCTTTTTAAAAAAAGAAGGAAATATAGATGCGATATAATGTCAGACAGTGAGAAAGACTCGGGACAGTAGTTAAACTGGGTAAGGGGACAGAGAGAGCTGAAGATAAGTTGGGAATGATAAGAGGGAAAGCCTTTGGTTGTTTCATTCGCGGAGAATTCCGATGCCCAACACAATGCCCCGCATCTACAAAAGTACCTGACAAATATTTGCTGAATGAAAATCATGTTGGTTCAAGTAGATCTGAAGGAGCAAAGGGTTGAATAAGGCTAATCCAGTTATGCCTGCTTCTCCCCAAGTTCCCTGACTGTATCCAGGACAATGTCTGCCTGTGTGTTCACCCCACATTCTGTAGGAATCCACGTCAAACCTAAGTCCCTGTTAGAGTTGACTATAATCACACCTTTTGTGTGGTAGCGTCGCACATTTTCTTCTTAATTGCCCTGGGCAAAAAGGCAACTGGTTGGTGAATGAAATATTTATGCTTTGAAGAATTGATGTTCTAATCAGTTCTATTTATACCAATGATCAACCATTTCTCAGTGAGGAGGAGGAGAAATTTTTTCTGTGATCTCTGTGCGTCGAAGTGACTAATGAAGTCAATCTGGGCTTGGCAGATTTTGCCACAACTTGGACAGACGTAGCCCTCATGATGTTGTGTTGCTTCTCAGCTTGCTGGTGCTCTGGTTCCCATTGCAATGATCTCATATTTTGGCATCTTCCTTTCAAAGTCTTATCTTCCCATTTTGCATGATGGCTCAGGCTTAAGGCACCACCTACCACTTTTCTTTCAACCAACCTTGTCTTCATAACAAATATTCTGAAGACCAAACATACCCTATTAGTTTTATTGTGTTTCAATTTTGGTGGAATGGGGAAAGAGGGAAGTTCATGCTCTCACAATTTTCTTCTTTAGTCTGAATGTGAGAATTGGACATTGGGGCTCTGTGTGAATTGAGATTCAGACAAATCGGGTCCATTCTCTAGTCTTGGTTAAAAACAGTTTGCACAGCATGAAGGAGATGAGCAATAGGAATGGTTCCCATTCTCTTCTGTGGATCCTAGCACACCTTTCCTATTGGGCTGTCACCTGGCCCCACTTCTCCCATGAAGCAGTGTCTTTCCCTGCCCTGGGGGGCCCCTTTCTGGTTCTGCACTTTTATAGGAGTCTATTGCTTTGTTCACACCAGTCTTTGGACAGAAAAAAAACCAATCAAAGTCCATACTCTAAGTTCATTTTGGCTCTAATCCCCACTATTTTGTCTGTCCCACCCCTTTCTCTCTTGTGTATCACACTGTTTATCTTCACAACCAGATCCCAGACTCCCCAACAGAAAATCACATAGTTTCTATCTACCCTTAACCAGCTCCCTCAACCACCTTGTGCACTAATCAGAGGTCTTCCAATCATTGCTGCTCAGGGTTTTGGGTAAGAAAAAGATCAGAAAGAAACGGAATATATTTCCAGCTTCACACTCTTTCCTTCACTCTTACCAGTTTGTAATTATATATTTACTTATCTTTTTACATATTGACTGCTCTCCCTTCCCTCAAGCTATAAGCCTCATAAAGGCTGGAAAATGTGTCTGCTTTGTTGACCAAGGTATGCCTGATGCTGGCCAGAGTAAACATGTTTAATGAATCTCTGTGGAATATAGGAGTGAATATAGAGAAGAAGGAGCTCATTCAGGGTGGATTTTCATTTACCCTAAAGAAGTGAAATGAAAGCAAACTTTGGTGGTTTTGTTTAACTGTGGGCGAATTGGTATGGACCGAGAAATTCAATTAACTGTATTCATCAATTTTTGTTTCTGGGCTAGAATCATGAGACTAAAACTCCAGAATTCTTGGTTCTACCTCTTTTGTGGCATTAAAAAACAAAAACAAAAAAACAAAAACAAAAAAACAACCCCCCAAGCCCAAACCTTGGCATATTACACCACCCAGATTTTTTTTCTTTGTCTCCAAGAAGGCTCAGCTGAACGGTAGATTCCTCACCCAGCGCAACAATCACAAACTCCGAAAACCTCAGCTGCCCCAGATGATGTCACAAAACCCTTAAGAATGCTCACTGCTGAGTTGGGCACAGGTCCAGCAAACACAATTCTTCCTGCCAGTTATTCAGGGTCTTTGACAGATTAGGTGGTCTTTTTTCTTCTTCTGCTGCGTCTTTTTTTTCCAACCTCTTAAAAGGCAGTTCAGTTTACCTCTAAGCAAGACATTAGCTCTGGCTGCCCCAAATAACATTTTAATTGAAGTCTCAGTCCAAACAAATGCCCAGCCTCTTTATTAACCCCAACAGTGTAATTTTTCAACCTAAGACTGATTCAGGGGCAAACTGTCTCACCGAGGCTGCCACGCAATGGGACATGGCAGTTTTCCTCAACCAGTCTCTTTTCTGACCTTGATTTGAACCTTAATCTCTTCTAACGATGTTTTCTTTATTAGCGTCTCACAGCCGTGGCACAAGACTAATTTTCCTGGTTTTAGACTATCAGTTTACAGAGGGATTTCATTCCCCTTTTTGCCCCACAAAGTAACCAAGATTTCACGGACCTCTTTGGGAAAAGGAAGGTAATATCTATTCTTCACATTTGTTATGGTTTATTGGTTGGTTGTTTTTTTTTTTTTTTTTTTAGATATAGTCATTTAAGTGGCTGCTTTGCAAGGCGTTCTGTAGAATTTTAGATTGTATTTTTGATGTACATTAAAGTTTAGGTACAAAGAAGTCATACCCTGAATCGTCAGAAAACCCCCAAAAAGAAACAAAACTCCTTTAAATGATTTCAAAAGAGTTTTCATCAATAGCCTGATCCACACTCATAAAGGTGAAAACTAAGGCTATTATCTGAATAATTCAGGCAAAAACAATATGTTTTTATTAGAGACCTCTAATCTTTTGGGGGAGATCTGAATTATCCAGATAATTGCTGCAATTCCTTCCTTCATTTTTATGCTTAAACATAATCAATGAGTAATGACAGGGAAAATCATTTTTCTTCATTGTACCTCCCCATTTTTTTGACATTGGTAAAATGATCCAAATTAAAAAGAAAAAAATGCACATACTTTTCAATAACAGTGAAAAAATGTGTTCTCTATTTAGAGTATACCTTAATATAGCAGAACTATGTAGGTAGAAAAACAGTGCTTATGATCATGTGCTCAATTAGATTTATTATAGGTTTTTGTACTTTTTGGCATTAGCATGAAAGCATATTGGTTATTATTTTTTATAACCTAATTGGAGGCTTTGTATCTAGTTACCCCTCTGTTCTCAGCTTAATACAATAGTTTGTTGATTGCAAAAATTACATTTCTGTGACTTTAAAGTCCTAGAACTAGGATTGCCATTGAAAGTTGAGGATTCAGTCTGGTGTTTGGAGGGCAGGGACCATGTGCCCTCTGGGTGTGAGGAGGTAGGCAGCTGGGAACAATTGTCTGTCCCCTGCGGTGTTCAGTGGCATTAGCAGCATGTTGGCATGATAAACTTTGCCTTCATTTCACTGGCTCAAACAATTAGTGGGATTGAATCAGAGTTCTCCTAGATCATAGTTTATTATATGTTATTAAATTCCATTATTCAAGAAGTTGCTGCTATGATTATAAAACTTCCCAACATATCCTGCAAAGCCCTCATCTCCATTCCTGGTGCATTTCCTTTTACATTTATCTTTTGCTTCTCTGATAGACAAGTTTTTTTTTTTCTTTTTCTTTCCCCTTGGTGCTTATTTAAAGAGCTAAGAGCTAATTTGAAAATACATCTACGAAAGGACAACAGAAATGAGATGTGAAAAAAAACTGGACGAAGATTCTTAATTAGTCCATTATTTGACACGCACGATTTAACATGGTATGCTAGCATTGTGCATTCCCCAAAAGAACAAGGCTCTTTTTTTTTTATCCCAAACTTTAACTCCCTCTCATTCATTATATCCCTTCTTGTCACTTTCCATTAGCTGATCATGACATCCTTTGCTGGAAGGGCGAGCAAGCAGATTACTTCCAAACTGGTGTAAGTGACACTCAAAAGACTGGCCTAAAGGGGCTTCTGTGGCAGCAACAAGCTCCTCAGCCCCTGGAGTTGGAGAATGTCATTTCAATAATATATTGGAGTCCGTTGTCACATCATTTCTGTAGCAACTTGGCAACTTCCCAGAAGTGGCAGGAATGGGTCTTCTACTGTGATAGAATCTGATGTTATCACGGTCACTGATGAGAGCAGTAATTTGTTAGTATAGTATAATAATATAATTAATAATTATTATTATAGTATATACTATATATACTATATACCGTGTAATAATAATACTATATATACTATATACTATGTAATAATTATTAGTAATAGTAAGTATACTGAATAATAAAAATTCATATTATTATTATGAACTGAGCCAATCTAATCCTTCTAGCTAGTGTCTTGCATTTTACAGATGAGGAAACTGAGGACCAAAGTAGTTAAATAAATTGTCCATGGTCACACAGCTGGTAAGTAGCAGCGCTAGGGTTTTAATCGAGGTCTGGCTGACTCCAAGCTATGCCTCTTTTTGTTAATGCAAGTTATGCATAACACACCAACTTTTAGGAGACTTCACCTAATTTTATTGCAACTGAGAAATAACCCGTCATCAGGCACTTCTGAGCAGAGGTGGGGATAACTGAAAAAGGTAGTCAGGGATCCAACACAGGGGAACAAACAATGCCAAGGGAAGAAGTGCAGAATCTGACGCTCTGATCAGGTCAGCTCTGGGGGAGTGAACCATTCCCAGCTCATCATCCCTGCCTCCGTTCCCCCAGCCCACAAGCCCTCCTCTACTTTCAAAGGTCCAACCTCAGGAATCATCCTCAACCCTGGAAGGGCATCCACCTGGGAAGACCTGGATGGTTGCAGACAAAAGGTGTATCCTATTCATCCACAGCAATGAAATCTGATCTGAACAGCCCTGGGACCAGTCCTGGCTGCCACTCAGACCCTCCTGCTGGCTTCTGGCCTCTCAAGCTCCTCTGTTCGTGAGAAAACAAGTCTTCATTAACCAAATTTTACCTTCTTTGCTTCACATGAAGCACGTTTTAGCTTCTTTGCCCAGCAACCTTTGAAATATTTTGATTCTAGAGAACAGGGAAATACAGAGCAATCCATTAAGTACAAGTGACCTGCTTTTCTACTCCCAGGAGAAAATTCAAAGTCCCATGATATCTATCTTTTAGGTTTAGGCTACACATATATGCTGGGCTGTAAAACATGGTGGTTATAGGATAAACTCTGAAGTCGGACCACCCAGCTTTAAGTGTAGACGCCCCCACCAACAGTGTGACCTAACCTCTCTGGATCCGAGTTTTCTCACGTGTCAAGTACCTCCGTCAGAGAGCTGTTGTGACAATGATCTAATGTGCATGAAGTAGCTGGCCCATGGGAATCACGTCCTGCATCTAGTTATCGTTCCGTATGTGCTGGTCAGTGTTCTCGTCTTAACTGCTGTTTTTGATGATGCTCCAGACTCCTTGATTCCAAGCCTGTATTTAAGTTCATCCTCAGCCATGCTTCTGTCCCTTCTCAGTCCGTGGGGCGTGATCAGCTTCCCACTTACACCTCACTGGTGATTTTCCAGGTCTCAGTTCCTGTCCATTTAACCATAACTCTTAAGTAAGTGCCTCCAGCATCTTCTTTCCACGCCTGTGTGATGGATGCATTTCTGCCTGGATGCCCTGCTCGCCCTGCCTGAAACCGAGGCAAAGCCAGAGTGCAGCCCTCCTTGTTCTCAGTCGGCTGGACGTCCTTGAAGTGAGTGCTGGTGGAGGCAGTATCACAAGGGTGTGATCATAAAGACAGCAGCAGTGTCACCCCACAATTTTGGGACCTCTGGAATGTTAATGAAAAAACTAGCCTCCCGATATACAGATGTATACAGTACCACAGCGAGTGCATTTGTTTAAATCATTTTAAATGTAAAAGAAATAATGATTTAAAAAGTCTTTTTAAAAAGCCCTCTGTCGTCAAAGCCACCTTCCCAATGATCTTTGTACCTCGGAGAAGGGGGAAAATTGTACATATGTATGTGTATTTTAACTGGGGGGAGTGTGTGTGCTGGGAGAGTGGATGGCCAATGGCAGGAATGGGGAAGAGGGAATTATATTTAATGAAACTGGGAGTTCACATGGACCTTTCAGACTTAAAAAAAAAAAATGTTGGTTTTACATGCCAAAGTCTTGAAAGGGACTTGACGGCTCACGGCTTTGGTGTATTTTTCCAGATGGCAGATGCCATTTTGTGTTTTGCATAAACTGACTAAATTTGCTTGCTCTTTGTACTTATTTCAGAGGCAACCATTCTTTGCTTTCAATAGGACAGAAGAGCTCCTTGGCACTGGAACCCTCCTGGTCTGGTGAGGGAGGGATGAGGGATGCTCTGAGGACACACAGCCATCATCCAAAACTTCCTGCGTTTGGAGCAAGGCAAGAGGTTGGACCAGAGCTTTGGATCCACGTTGCCTGAAGGATGGTTCAGACTGTGTGAGCGAGTCACAGAAGGTGAGCTATGCGAAGAACTTTCAAAAGTTATCTTTCCTGCCTGTTCTTATCTCCACGGAGGCAAATAGGTTCATGGCACTCTTATTTCAAGTCCTCTACATCTTACTAATTGCTGGTTGTGCGATCCTGAAACTTAATCCCTCTGTACTTCAGTTTCTGAAAAAAAAATTAGGATGATAGGAATAAATAACACTCATCTCTTAGGATTGTTATGAGATTCCATGAGTTAATCCACGTAAAGGATTTAGAACAGTGCCTGGCATCTAGCAAGTGTTCAAGAAATGTTGGTAATTATTATTTTTATGATTCATTTCTGTGGAAATTTGCATGTTTTCCCCTTATTTTCTGAGGATCGACCTGCCCGACTCCCGTTGTCATCATGCCAACTCTTTGGGTTGTTTTTATGGAAATAGACTGATAATAGAGTGGTTCAGCTGTCGGCTTTGCAGAACAGAATCAAGCTGAAGTTCTTGAAGTAACGATCAGTAGCTACATCTCAAGAGTGATTTAGTGTCTCCATGCCTCAGTTTCTCCATCTATAAAATAGGGATAATAATAACCATACCTGCTTCACAGCATTTTTGGGAAGAGTAAATGTGACAGTGCTTGCACAATATCTGGCAAGGATGTAAAGCATGTCAGTATTGTTATTATTTTTGCTGCCCCAAATATACTGAATAGTGCTCTTATACTCAAAAGTACCCCTAGGAGCTTGTCAGGGCTCCAGGCCTCTAGCTTCATGTCAGCTACCTCACCAGAAAAGAGAGCAAACACAGAAATAGAAAGATGCTGTGAGGCCATGGCTTTACTGGGACTCTTTGCCAAATAATGACACAGAATTGACAGAGTTGAGTCTTGCTCAACATGGATGCCAATTAAAGTTAGAAAACTCAGATTTCTGAGCAGACCAATCCCCACTCATTACATTGGGGATTATTCCAAAGGACAGGAACTATTGGAATAGGAATTGTGGCCTTATTTTTCAGTCCTACACCCCCCAAAATACAGCATACAGTCAGGGAGCCTATGAGGGAGCAATAGTTATCCGGGCTGGTCACCTCTCATGGAGGAATCTGGCATTTGCACATCATAAATATTTAAATTTCGCATTTTCAAAAACTGCTTATATTTTCCCCTTCAAACTGAAAATGGATAAAAGTTGCATCCACGAGTGATAGAGGCCCCTCTCTGATCGTGTTATCGAACAGTTGAAAACTGTCTATATCACATTCATCATTTTCATCCAGCGGTGATGAGTAGTCTCTATTAATAACTGAACAAAGAGGAAAAAAAGGAACTCTAGAAACTCTCACCCCAAAGCCAACACAAAACCTGAAAAAACCCCGAAGAACTTAGAACAAGGGAATGGGAAAAGGGGACACCTGGGTGGCTCAGTAGTTGAGTGGCTGCCTTTGGCTCAGGGCGTGATCCTGGGGTCCTGGAATTGAGTCCTGCATCCGGCTCCCTGCGGAGAGCCTGCTTCCCCTTCTGTCTACGTCTCTGCCTCTCTCTGTGTGTCTCTCATGAATAAATAAATACAATCTTTCCCAAAAAGGAAGTAGGAAAAGCATCACACACCTTGCAGGTACCTTGTTTGCTCTGTTAGATCTTTCTGACCCCCCTTTCCTCTGCTGAGTTACTTCCCACAGTGAGAATAAGATGAGAATAAGACTTGAGTCAGGAGAAAAGGCACAGTGATGACTTCTTTCTCAGTTTGGACAAGATGACAGCCCCAACTTTTTCTCCTGACCTCGTGCTTAGAAATTTCTCAGGGAGTGGAATGCTACGGATTTGTTATCTTTAGCAGTAAACTAAGAAGGGAAAGTAAGAGCAAACAAAAGACGAAAGAGAAAAAGCACATGTCAAAAGAGAAAGGGAAGAGATGTTGGAAAGAGCACCAAGCTTGATTACTAGTGTGGGGTAAATATATGGCAGGAGGAAAAAGAAAGGAACTTCAGGGTACCTTGACAGAGGTGTCTTGCAGGCCAGTGAGGATGCATCTTCTCCTTCTACCCTGGGATGCGAATGCTAAGCAGGAGACTACATTTCCCAGCCTCTCTTGCAGTGATGGGGGGGGGGGGCTGGCAGGTGACTAGTTCTCATCAGAGGACCAGGAGCTGAATTGAAGAGATGTGTGTCATGTTGGGGCTCAGTTATGACTGCACGTAGCCTGTTCTCTCTCTGTCTCTGTCCATCTTCTGGCTAGAAAATGCCTTGATGTCATCACTGCATAGAAGACATAAAGTCATTACCTGGAAGGAACGTGAATTCCTGAATCACTCCTTGGAGAAGGGCAGCCCAGAACAGCTGCCCGACCAGGACTGTCCACATGAGACTGTTTCTGAGTGAAAAATAAATGTTCATTTGTTAAGCCCCTGAGTTTTGGGGAATTGCTTGTCTTATCCACAGACATTACTTACTTTGACTGTTATAGAAATTGATAGCAGAAGGGAGCTCTAGAAGCAGTTACTTTTTCTTCTCACCTTCGCTTAAAAGGCAGTCAATTATTTCCTGATACCCTCTTCTTCTTCTATTATTGTCCAAAGCAGCCAATAATAACCAACACGTGCTACTTTTCACCTCTAAGCTCTAGAGTCACATGGTCTGATTTTCAAGTTACTGAAAGCAGCAGTTTTGCCAAGTATTTTTCCACTGCATGATATGGATCTCCAGCCATCCAGGGGAATGTATCTGCTTTTTGCCACTTGACCACGGAGTCAATGCCACATATTTTAGGGTTCTTTTGCAGGACACCGTACTGGTACTAAGTATAATAGTCGAGTTTAGTCAGAAAAATATAAGCCTCTTCTGGCAGATGCAATGTAATGTGTTCACCAAAGGAACTATTTTCTATGGACACACGGGAAGATCATAATCCCCTCTCCTCTGCAATTTAATTGAGGCCATAGGACCAATTCTTTGTAACGAAGTGTAAACAGAAGTATTGTACTCACCTTTGATCCAGGGAGGTAAGAGTACATGTATGTTTTCTTTCGCCCCCTCTTCCATGGAGATCTTGAAGGACTCATGTTCCAGATGGTAGCCAGAAGATAGAAACCACTCAGCCCATGACCTGAACAAGAAATGATCTGTATTTTGTTATACTAGCCAGGGTTTGAGGGTTGTTTATTACTGAAACATACGCATTCACATTCTGAAATACTCAGAGTATTTCATCAGGGAGGAATTCTGTGTAAGGAATTAGAAAATTATAAAACCAGAATCACTGGGAGAGCCAGGGAATGAAGAGGAAGGGTGCTCTTGCTAACTTTCGGGATAGGTGAAAGTGAAGGCTCACCAGGACATCAAGTTGCCACCGATGATCTCAGCTGCCTGCAGCACCGATGGGGGTGAGGCTAGGAGGATGCTCGGAAGCTGACACATAACCCCAGGTCTGCTTTCTGCCAATGCCCACACACCTGCTTGTAGCTACTGATAAGGAAAAATGGCTTTTTCCTTCCACTTTCCGATGATTACAAGAGCATCTCTCAGTGGCACGTGGTACCAAGAACCCCACTGCCAAAAGAACCTGGGAATTTGGTTGTCAGGCTTTCAGCCCTTATGGGACAGAAGGGAGCTTAGAAGGACAAAGATGGTACTTACTGAGTCTCGATGAAAGATGTCAGGCACAAATGCTTCTTGTATTTCCCATAGGAAACCCAAATGGTCATCCCTCCATAACTCATTTCCTTTTGATTCTTGAGGACAGATCTTGATCAATTCTTTATTCCCGGGTACCAGACATTACCAGGAAAAAACCCAGAAACTTGTGAATTGATTTGGATGGAATGACAACAGAATCAATAGCAAATAAGAAAGTTGTCCCCATGTATTTAAGTTAGATTTCAAGGGTCCTGTTCATGGAATCTGATGATTCTCTCTAATGGCTGCCCTAGTTTCTTCCCCAGCTGAAGCGATTCTCCTTCCTCGTCTACTCATAGTGACCATGTAGTGCTGCTACTAGTGACAAGTGACAACCTTGAGTTCGGGTCCTGTCCACACAGCCAAAAAGAGGAGGATTTTATAATGATCTGGGTTATTGGATCCATAGAGACTGCCAATAATGTGTGTGTGTGTGTGTGTGTGTATAATGCAGTTTAAAACAAACATATATACATCAAATTGGTTGTGTAGAGTTAGTCAAAGTGTTTCTATATTTTATTCATTCAGCTCTGAGCATGGCTTTTGTGCTTTGGCAGAGCTGGGATCTCTTTGAGAAAATGGGGCTTATGAGTTCACATAGGGGCAGAGTGGGGAGTATTGTGTAAGTGAGGAGGGGATGAGGGAGACTCGGGTGTTAGAAAGGACCTGTTCAGCCAGAAGAAAAGGATACTCAGGAAAGGGAGGGCCAGACCCTGGTGTGGTTTCATCTAGAAAAGGCACAAAGTTAAAACCCCGTGGAAGATTAAAGACATCCTCTTGATATTTATTTTCCTCATCAAAAAAAGGTAAGACTATTGTGCCTATGGTAAAAATAATAGTAGAATGACTCAGACTTATTTACAACCATCAAAGAAATGAAAGATATGGATCATGTCACTAATTAATCTTATTATCATTATAAAGTGGTGACCATATCCAGCTGAAATGTTGTGTGCATAATAGCACAATTATGGGGGATGTGATGATGTAACAGTTGCCAGTGCCCAGTATTTAGCCTCTCTTTTCCATTCCCACCCACCCTGATCTATGTCTATATTTAGTTGTTTTACACAGTGTACCTGGACCAAAGTCTATTTTACAAAATTAAAAGAATAGAGAGAAGTTAGTCTTCATAGAAAAACCAAGCTCCATAAAATCTATTTCCCTTGGTTACCCATGTTCCTTCTTGGTAAATGTATTTTCTCCTACTTTGCACCTAGAATCATGGATGGAACACAATCATGAGTTTATTTTGTGTAAAGGGAAGTAGAGCATTGAGCAATCATCTAATGAATGCAGTCAAGATGGTTAGTGAATCTGGAAAATTCCACTCTCAAAAAAATTTACTTTCTCTACTCTGTAGCAGATTTCCTCTTGGCCTTAATTATCCACAGAGTTGTCCAATTTTCTGATAGTCTTTACCATTGTTGACATCACCTTAATAATTTATTTAATGGATTTCATTGGGTTCATTTGGGAACCCTTTATTCTAAGTGGCTGCTTTTATAAATTATTCAATAAGCATTGAACACTATTCCAGTTATCTGTTGCTGCGTAATAAACGACTCCAAAGCCTAGTGGCTTAATGCAACAATTTATTATTATCACTCTTGGTTCTTAAGGTCGATGGCTTCTGCTGCTCTTACTTGAGTCCCTCATATGGTTGCAGTTCTATGGTAGCTGAGGCTGGAGCCAGTGAAAGGTTTCCTTATTCATATGTCTGGTGTGGGACTAGTCAGGAATCTTTTTCTCTTCACATAGTTAGCTTGGGCTCCCTCAGAGCCTGTTGCTCTCTTGGTAATCAGCCTTCCTGCATGGTGACCAGCTTCCCCCAGTGCAAATGCTCTAAAATCCACATACAAGTTGCAAAGCCTCTTAAGGCCTAGCCTTAGAAGTCATATAGGTCAGTTCTTCTACGTTTTGTTTCTCAAAGCAGTCACCAGCCAACCCAGATTCCAGGAGTTGGAGAAATAGAGTCCCTCTCACAGTAGGGGGATGGCTTGTGCATTTGAGGAAGGACAGAAATGATGGCGGCCATTGTAATGACAAGCTATTGAAAGTACCTACCATGTGACAGGCACTATGATAACGTGCCTGGGGAAACATGTTGAATTAAACAGGTATGGTCTCTGCCCTTGTGGAGATTAAAATCCATCTTAACTTTAGTGTTGACTTGACAGTTTTCACAATCCACTGCTGAGCTAGATAAATCTCAAAAACAAGTATATTTGGCTATTAAACTGGTAAGCGGTAATATGATAATTTGTGGTCTAGTCATTTTGACTTCTTCAATAACCACATTGAATGAAATTTGTGATTATCTGATCCATAGCTTGTGTGATCCATTTGATGAGCTGATCGGTGCATGCATTCTCTAAAACACCTAAGCAAAACTGGGATGCCATCTGTTGCTTAACACATTGAGTTCCTGCTGTGAATGGAGGCTAAAACTAACTTTTTAAACTTGTGGTGGGGAGTATCTAAGACACCGAAAAGGCAGATTTCTGCCCCTGGTGAGCTTCCATTCCTTTTGACCATGAGTAGGTGGAGCAAGCTGTGGCCATTACAAAGGAAAATGTGGAACCCAGAAAATGCAGGAGAAACGAGACAGGCGGTGTCTTTCCATCTCCCTCTGGAGAATTCTCTTTTGGAGAGAGATAATAGACTATTCACCTCAGTTTTCTTCCCTCCTATGTCATTAAAGGAAGGTGATTTAGGTTCGGTAAGTAAAAGGAGATTTCAGGACAGGAATGTTGACAGAAGAATTGGTGGTGCTCAGCAATCCTCAGGTCTTATCGTTTTTGGCATAGTTTAGGTCCATTTCACGGTAACAGCTCTGAGGGGCTGGGGGAGGGGGCTCATGATGACACAAGAGATCCCTTGACATTTCAGAAACAAAGGTCAAAGCCTGAAAAGGTCCCAAAGCAGGCAGAAATTCCTGCACACGCTTGTCAATTCCCTGCCATGAAGCTGGTATCATATTATGCCGCCTTAGACTACATCTGTGCATCTATGTTATCTCACCTGCCATGAAAGGACATTACAGGGGATATTTTAGGTAAAACAACAACAATAATAATACATACTTTGCCTTAATTGCATAGATATTTTGAGCAAAACTAATTTTTGGCTTAAGTGCCATATAACAAGGCTCCTCCACTAACTTTGACTTTGTGACTCGTACTTCATCAGATCAGATACTTTTCTCACACTACTGAATCTTGTGTCCCTTGGGTATCATTTGCTAAATTAAACTTCTTTCCATTTTTCATGCTAGTTTATTTATCTGTCTGAAATGCCTGTCCCTACGCCTCTGGAAATTCGTAATAAATTTTAATTATACCTTTCTCTTCATTTGGCCAGTGCATATTTATTTCAAGTGTTTTGGGCTATGTTGTTGTTATGCGCCTGCTGATAGATGTATCGCTTTAAAACTTTTTGTGGGCACCTGATTTGCCCACCTTCTTATCAGATGTTAAACTGAATGGCAGGAGCTTCCTTATATACAGAAGTATATGCACATGGGTATGTGTCATATATGCATCCATACATGCAGAGGGCACAACATGCTCCATGCTCTACTTTCTTTCTGTTAAAATCAAGCAGACTATTTTGTAATTACCTGATGAATTGGATCAATACATATGTGTAGTGGGATTATTCTGAGTTTTAAAGTACCTCAACTACATATTCACAAGGATGAAAATAATCTAAATTATTGCTCATCTTTTCTCTGGGGAAATTCTTTTCAGGAATTCATGATAAACCAAAGTACTTCAGCTATGTGAGTACCTGTGATTGATTATTTGTGGCAAACATGATATTTTTTCTTGAATTATGGAAGTCTTACTCTTCAACTGAGGCTACCAAGCCTTTGACGTTTCATGTCAGCCTTATGGGAGTTTATCAAGGTTTTAAAAAATTGTAGAGGACTATGAGCATGACTTGGACGACTTAAACTCTTCCTTTATAATGTATAGCTATCTCCCTGCTCTGGCTCCTAAATGACATACAATATTTATTTATTTATTAGAGAGAGAGAGAGAGAGAGAGAGAGAGAGAGAGAGAGACAAAGACACAGGCAGAGGGAGAATGCCTGTCTCCATGCAGAGAGCCCGATGCAGGACCTGATCCTGGGACTCCAGGATCATGCACTGAGCTGAAGGCAGATGCTCAACTACTGAGCCATGCAGGCATCCCAGTGACATACAGTTTAAGTAGAAACTTGTGCTTGGCCTCAGGAAAAATCTCCTAGCATGTGTCATCACCACTCTTCCCTTTTCTAACCAATTTGCTGTCCCTAAAACCTTTTCATATTACAAAGTTTGATGCTGCCACAGCCTATGTGCTAGGTCAGGGGCACTGCAAGTTGTCTGATTTTAAGGTCACCAAGAAGTATTTTCTATCCTTCAAAAATCATAAATTATCTTGACATCCCTGATATTACAGTAACATGAAATAAACCTTTCTTCTCCTAATTAGGCTTATACTGAAAATGCAAATCCTGCTGGAAGCATTCATATAATGATGGGTCCTCATTCACATAAGATGATCATGACTGATGGCAGATCTTTTTTTGAAAACAGGTTTTGATTAGGGCAAAGTAATGATTGAGTTTGGGACAGCAGTAGGTCACTGCATTCTTAAAGCAGCTTGTTCAGAAGTAGAATATTGATACCCCATGGAGAATCCAAAATGATCCCTCAATGTGCAGAAAGGAGCTATTAAGTCTTCTGTTTATTTTAAAATTTTCATCTTAGGGGGGACTTGGATGGCATAGTGGTTGAGCATCTGCCTTTGGCTCAGGGTGTGATCCCAGGATCTCCCACGGGGAGCTTGCTTCTCCCTCTGTCTATATCTCTGCCTCTCCTCAGTGTCTCTCATGAATAAATAAATAAATAAAATCTTTTTTTAAAAGATATATGTATCTTATATATATATAAGCTCACGGCCCAACATGGGGCTTGAACTCATGACCCTGAGATAGAGAGTTGCATGCTCTACCAACTGAGTCAGCCAGGTACCCCAGGGTTTGTATATTTTTGATGCACACAATAAAGTAATACACATGTAATTTATAAGTAAAAACACACAAGTTGCATATACCTTAAGTATTTTTACTGATAGAACTGTGTGATCTGAAAGCTTAGCATCCATTGCTTATGCAGGGTAAATGTGGGTAAGGTTATTGTGAATCTACATGGAAGAACAGGAAATAGTTACAGAACAGTGTTTGCAACCTCAGAATCCTCACTGCAGTTATTAGTGATTTCAGTTATTGGATCAATAGGGAGTTTACTAACTCTCAACCTGACGCCAGTCCCTTTTAAGATGTCAAGAAATTGCTCAATTTTAGGATGTTGACCAAAGAAAGTAGATTTTAATCATGCTTTTTTTCCCTCCTATTTTGTTTTCTCAAGGGTCTCATGGGAACAGAAAGTTTTGAGAGAGTTTACTGTTTGTGCAAGATGACTGGTTGGGTAAAGAAGTCCAAAGTTTATGATCTGCAGAACAAATAAAACCTGGGCAAAGGTAACTGAAACGAATGTCTCCCATCTTGTCCCTTCAGCCTGTCTAAGGGGATGTTTGCGCCAATGATTGCATAACTGAGAATCTAATCTGTGTGTGTCAAATGGAGAGGAGGCACATTTTAGACTCCTACTGGTTAAAAATAGTCACTGCCAGTTATTCTTCTTGGTTTGATAGGCAATTGAATTGTGGTGTCTATATAGAAAGCATATGAAATATCTATTTGTTGATGAGATTATTTCTAAATATCCAGGTGTTGCTTGTCAGACAGCATCAGAGTAGCTAAAAATTCTAAAAAATTAGAGTTTTTTTTTTCTCCTTCTCCTAAAGTAGACACTGCAGAGCTCTTGGGAAATACTAAAGTAAGTTTACCAGTTCATGGCTACTCTGGACTTTTGTGGTGGTGATGATTAATGACATCAAGGACCATTGGCTTGTTCTTGTGATTACTCCACAGTAATTATAAGTATTCAGACTGGATGACTTCCAGTCTAAAAGACTAGACAACTAGTCTTTTAGAAGATAACTTCCAATGCATAAATGTTGATGGGACAGTGGAAAGTTACTGAGTGGTTGAGGTTAAGAACTTACTATTGGAGAAAAAAAACAATGCTTTGGGTCTCAGAGATCCTTACTTATGAGATATTGACTGAAGCATTTCTCTTTAGTTTGACTTTTTTGTTGTTGTTGCTTTTGTTGAAACTTGAAGTTTTTTAAGCCAAGTAAAGAGGCATTTTATTTATTTATTTATTTATTTATTTATTTATTTATTATTATTTTTATTTTTTTATTAAATTTTTTTAAATTTTTATTTATTTATGATAGTCACAGAGAGAGAAAGAGAGAGAGGCAGAGGCAGAAGCAGGCTCCATGCACCGGGAGCCCGATGTGGGATTCGATCCCGGGTCTCCAGGATCGCGCCCTGGGCCAAAGGCAGGCGCCAAACCGCTGCACCACCCAGGGATCCCTAAAGAGGCATTTTATATAAAACAGTCACGAATTGTGATAAGGAATGATCCAGAAGCCCTTTTTGGATAGAAGCTAAATAAATTAAAGAGGTGACCTCTAATTTTAAAATTAGGTACTGGAGAATTTTATAAACTTTTTACAAGCATATTTATCATTCAAGAATTACTTTCTCAAAGAAATGTTTAAGGAGGAGATTAAACATGAAGAACAAACCAATCACAGTGAGATCCTCTGCCTAAATTTTGGATGGCTGAAGAAATCCTAATTGATTTGATAATGTGTTGCATGAAACCCCCACACAGAATTGTCTCTGCCTATGTATGGTATACTGGTAGTTAAAACTAGTTAGTGTCCAGATTATCTGAATAACCGTAAGTTTGTGGTTATAATTGTTTAAAAAGAAAAACCCTATAATTTTCCAGTGTGGAAAAGACAAATTCCAATTTCTAAACCTAAGCCTTGCTATGACCTATTGTTTGGAATTTCACTCATGACCAACTATTCACATGGAAAAACTAATTACAGTATAAATTTAGCTTAGACATTTGGAGGTACTTCTGTAGACTGAGACACTGGGCTGAGTGGTAAATGGGTTGGTAGTTTCTGGACTCTTCCAAAGTCCAGAGTAGACAATTATCTTTTTGAGGCTATAAGTTTGTCATTTCTCCCCCTGGAAATAATGACCTTTGGAGGGTCCATCAACTCTAGGATTTTGTCAGCTATCCATCCAGGGCTTACAACATCAAGTGTGTGAAATTATCTGTTCTGCCTTTAAGAGGAACTACTTTCTGAGAAGCATTGGTGACTGGGGATAGGTGTATACTGAGATAATGTGAGTTGCAGGAGTGGAGATGATGGAACGGTTCATGATTCAAAAATAGGCTTTGATTACTGGGCATTTACCCCAAGGATTAAAATGTAGTGATCCAAAGGGGCACCTGCACCCCAATGGTTATAGCAGCAATGTCCACAATAGCCAAACTATGGTAAGAGCCTAGATGTCCATTGACAGAAGAATGGATAAAGAAGATGTGGTATATATATATGTGTGTGTATATATATAACAGAATACTACTCAGCCATCAAAAAATGAAATTTTGCCATTTGCAATGACATGGAGGGAACTAAAGGATATTAGTGTAATAAATCAATATGAGAAAGACAATTATCATTTGATCTCACTCAGATGTGGAATTTAAGAAACAAAATAGAGGATCATAGGGGAAGGGAGGGAAAGATAAAACAAGATGAAATCAGAGAAGAGACAAACCATAAGAGACTTTTAATCAAAGGAAACAAACTGAGGATTGCTGGAGGGGGTGGGTGGCCGGGGGATGGGGCAACTGGATAATGGGCATTAAGGAGGGCATGTGATGTGATGAGCACTGGGTGTTATATAACACTGACCTCTAGCTCTGAAACCAATACTACATTATATGTTAATTAATTGAATTTAAATCAAATTCAAAAAACAAAAACATAGGCTTTGAAACCCATGAAGCCTATTAGATGGGTCAATGAATAATAATATAAACAGTGTGGAAAAACCCAAGAACGTAAAGGCATTTGATGAAGAAGATGACAGAATGGAAGAGAAAAAAAAAAAAGAAAGAAAGAAAGAAAGAAAGGGAGAGCCAGAAGGACAGAGAGGGACAGGGACCAGAGGGCCTGAGCCCGAGCATGGCGGAGGCGCACGGCTGGCGGGCTGCACACTCAGAGGGCCTGGTTTTCCAATCTGGCACTGGGCTTGATGAGTCTGTTTATTCAGCTATGGTATCAGACGTTCCCTTTTCCTGCCCGAAGAAGTCCCCTTTGAAGAACTGCTCTGCTGGGGAGTAGCTTCCCCTTGGACGGTGACTCCTGTTTGCAGACCTAAAGGGAAAGAACTGGAAAGGCCACGAGAATGTTCTTTAAAGCGATATTCCAGCGCCACGTGAGGGGAGGATGAAATGGCAGTAAAAGATTTATTTCCCGGTTGAGGTATTTTTTTCCCCTCTCAAGTGAATGTAGCACTGAACAAAGGTGTCACATGAATGCGACAGGGGTCAGATGTTCTTGGGGACCTCCGGGTCTGTGTAGTGGGGTGGGAGAGAGCACTGTGCGGAGCGGGAGCCCTTCCAGCTTCTGTAGGCCCGGAGAGAGTGGGGGGCACACCTGCTGGAGTCGAGAGAGAGTCGGAGCGAATTCAATAGGCCCCGACACCTAGTCTTGCAAGTCTGTCTCTGCAAAGGAATCGCTGGTGGTGACTTAATCAGAGCACCGGCCTATACTTTCAAAGCCGAGCGGCAGAGAGAACTTGAGTGAATTGGGAGACAATATTCATTACCAAATTGGGTAAATCAGAGGTCAAAAATTTCACTTGGGGGCTTTACTATTAATTTCTTACAGCTCAGCGGCACTTTTTACTTTTCAAAGAAGTTTTTCATCTAGCCCTCACATTAACCCTGTGAAGTAGCTCATGTTGATGTCAGGATCCTGATTTTTTTCTCTTTGGAAAAAGGATGGGGCCAAAGAAAGGGAGATGGTTCCCTAGCTCATCACTGACAGGGGCAGGACGACAACCCAGGTCTCCTGACTCCGGGACCAGGTCTCTTTTCTCTGTGTTCTTGCGACCTATACAAAGTGACGATGGGAGTTTCAGAAAAAAGGAAGGTGACATTCTCCATCTCCTCCCAGGCATGTAGAAAGTTGCTGTGACTTTGAAGCCACTGCTTTGCTGTGCCCAAATTCTCTCTCCGGGACTGGCCTTAGGGAGGAGATTCAAAGTAAAACCTTCAGAGGGGGAAGTCTCATTCTAGTCACTGTGGCTGCCCATGCCTCTGGTGGATTTGTTCAATCTTTGCCTGAACCACATAAAACAGGAGCTCTCCAGAATGAAAAGGGTTCTTTGTTCCATCTCTGAGATGAACCCTTTGAGTAAGAGATGCCACTTCACGGTGAGGCCTGGCTTTTCCAGGAGAGGGGATGGGACCCACATTCTCTTCTTGATTCTTGGCTGAGACTCGATGGCTCACATTGACTCTGGGGCCTGGAGGTAAGGTTCGTGCAAAAGGGAACTCGGGGCACCAGCAGTGCTTGCTTGAGGGGTCAGAGTGAACCAGAATTTCCTTCCAGGGAATACAGATTTATGTATGTCAGGGCTCCAGGGAGAAACTCAAAAGAGGTCTTACCTACTTGCTGCCTTTTCTGCTTTGACACACAGAGCCTTCTATTTTATCTATTTCTGGATGGTTGTCTTCTTTCTACATGTAGATCTGCAGTCGCCCAACATTAAGCTCTATCTTGTCATTATTTGTGTCCTCTAAGACTTCCTAGGGTTTAAAGTATCTGATGAATGAATGGGAAGCCATTTTCAGCCAAGTGCTTATTCCAGGCTCTCTCGGCCTATAGTTCAAATCCAAATCACCAGGGAAATAGGCATGTGTACTTTGAAATAAGTCTCAAGATGAATCTCATGTGCACTGAAGTTTGAGGATTATTGTTTTATCCCTTTTCTCCTTAGCTCGGACCCCTCTTGGTAATAGAACAACGCTATATGCACAGTCTCAGATTTGTGTGATGTTTTCTGATTCACAAGGCTTTTTTCACACATTGGTCTAATTAAATACTAACGTGATGGGGCTAATTTAACAACAGCCCTCTGATTTGGATTCCTTTCCCATTCACTTTTTCAGATGAGGAGACAGGAATGAGAGTCTTTGGATCACCTGACAAGTTCCCGGCAAAGCCTGTGTTCATCCCAAGTTTTGTGATTCCAGGTACCATGCTTTTCCCCCCATAACCCCTGTGGCTCTATACCTTTGTGAGTGTTGCTGTTCTTGGTGTGGGAAGTGTTATTCCTGATAATACTTACTGTCTACATAGCTGGGGACAGCTACTGTGATACATGTATGAAGTCAGGAGGAGCTAACACTGTGTATTCCTAATGAAGTCTATGGTAGGATAAGTGGCTAAGACTAATAAGGAAGTGTCCTTTCATGCAGATGTTACAGTATAACATTTTTGGTCAGTATCAAATTGGAAAAGCAGAATTGAGACCTAGTGAAGGATGAGGGTTCTTCGAGAGAAGGACATCTAGTTGTTCACCTGTGATTAAACTATATTCTCCTGACTTCATTTAACCAGGGATGGAGAAGGGATGGGACTCAGGCTGAGACCCTAGGAGTTGCTCTGTGACCTGGAGTCCCAGGGATGATCAGGCCAGCTCTACTGGCTGTAGAGGTTGGCTGTTTGAAATATCTGTGAGGTTCACAGCTAGGGCCAACCAAGACAATGAGGAAGTGGTGTGGATATGTAGAATGTCATGAAGGGGAGTAGGTCTCATCTCATTTAATTCAAAATGTCCCGAAAGCTCCAAAGTTCTAGAGAGCATGTAGTCATGCTTCAATGATGATTTAATGGTTGCTAGAATATTCTAAACAAAACTTTCTGGATGGCTGTTTACTCTCTGATTAGTTACAACATACAGACAGCCTTCAGAAATGGAGACTTGTCAACTAAAAGAAAAGGTGGGTCTGAAACTTCTGCTAGCACCCAATTCTCTCCCACTTAGCTGCGGAAGGACCTCTAATTTAATCATGGAGTAATAGATGATTGATATGACTGTACCCTGATTAAAAAAGGTTTCATTTTACTTGTGCATGGTACATGGAATTAGTTAAGGGTTGCATAGGAAAAGAAGTGATGGGCTATTGTTCACATTAAATTATAATGACAGCCTTCCTAACCACTGTGTATTTATTATGTAAGAAAAGAAAATGTCTAGTAAAATTCTGTATAGGTTAATAACACCTTCATAATATACTCCTTCTTTTCTATTGACTTGAATAGCCCTCCTACTGACTTTTAATGGATTATTAGAGTTAATTACATCAATTGCAATATAATTGATTCTTAAATACTATGTAGAAACCTCATACAATTATGGAAAAACAAAAGTTATCTAGACATCTCAGATCAAAAAAGATTTGGAATTCCTGCACATTTAATTTCTGATAATCACTAGTCAGTTTGGACATTAAGATTGCATGGTGTCCTGTTTTCCCTTTGCTAGGTTTTGACAGAATTGATAGTTTTAAAACATTTAACTCAATATGCATGGAAATATAAGATTAAAGCTGTGAATGCAATTTTTTTTCTAAAAAAAAAAGATCACTTCATGGCTTAAAAGCTGAAATGTGTTACCTGCCTAACATTGACAGAAACATACTCAAGGGAAAATCAAAAGTGGATTTGATGTTGAGTTTTAGAAATCTCTTCTCCACGGGTGTAAAGATTCCTGTGGATCTTAGGGTTTGTTACCTGAGGGCTTTAAAATATGACAAGGGGATGAATTGTGCCTAAAGGGGCAAAAAACCCAAATTCCTTGCATTTTATTACCTAGTCACAGGCTATGTATTCTAATGTCAAAACCACTGGTTGAAAAGTGAAATATCATTAATATCTGTTTTTTGATGTCATATATATCAAAAGACATTCCTGTAATAGAGTTGTATGAATGCAACCTTTTCATTTTTAACTGATTTGGGGAAACTAGTTTGTGGGTATTGACACAGTTATAAATGTGAGTTTTCTAAAAGACTCTGCTGCTTCACTGATACAGATTTCTAGATCATTCTAAAATGGTCAACAAAGAAATGTGTCAAAGCTTGATGCAGTGGGAAGGTCACTGGAATGGGAATCAGAAAACCTGATGTTTTCTGTTACTATTTAGCTTGATAATTTAACCTGAGTGGGCCTTAATGTTCTCTTCCATAAGATGACAGAGTGAGCAAGCCTCTAGGCTTTCCCTACTGTGACTCTCTTGCCTTTGAACTCTTGGTAATCTTATTTTCTATAGTAATTCATTTGATTCTTAACATAAGCTAACTTATATCAATATGTATATTGTGCAAATCAATATGCCCTATATATATATGGATATATGTCTTATCTGGTTAACTAGGTTATGCATTTCCAAGGATAGGGACCATGCCACATATCATCTCTGTGTGCTTAGAACATTTACTATGGTATCCTAGTAGAGAATGGCTACTGTTTGGTTGGCTGAGCGGCCAGTCAAAAGGAAGTATTTCCATTTTCCCCTGAAATTCTTGATATAAAAAGAATAATAACAAAATATCCTACTCATTATAATAGTTTAATTTTCAAAACTGTTGTAAAGGTTTATTTTATGAAATTTTGTGCTTTATTTTTTTTAAAGATTTTATTTATGTATTCATGAGAGACACTGAGAGAAAAGCAGAGACACAGGTGGAGGGAGAAGCAGGCTCCACCCAGGGAGCCCCATGCGGGACCCAATCCCAGGACCCCAGGATTGTGCACCAGGCGGAAGGCAGGCACCAAACCGCTGAGCCACCCAAGGATTCCCAAATTTTGTGCTTTAAAACAGATGAATTTAAGATGTAAAATTTGATTTGGGTTTTTAAAAAATAAATTGCAATTCCAGTAATGGAACTTGAGCAGTCTATTCTAAAGTTCATCTGAAAGAGCAATGCATGACAATAGCTATGAAAAACAAACAAAAAATTTAAATGAGTGAGGATTTGCCCTGTAGTGGTGGTCAGAAGGAACTATTCATCTTCAGCAGTATACAATTGTGATATAATCCATGCACAAGTGTCATGATAGAGAAATCAAATAGTCTAAAAGATTACAATCCTAAGAATATAGGAGAGTTTAACAGATAATATGGAGGGATTTTGAATCAGTGGCTGAAGAGCGGACTGCTCAATAAATGGTGTTGGGACAACTGGCTCTCCATCTGGACTCCTACCATACACAAAAGTAAATTCCAGATGGAATAAAGCTCTAAACATAAAAATCAAATCTATACAAGTATTGGAAGAAAATATGAATGAACCTTTTTTCTTAAAAAAAAATCATCTTGGGTCAGACATTCTTTGTAAACAAGATGAGAAACCCAGGAGTCATTAAAGAAAACCTCACAGAGTTGACTTTATATAAAAAAAAAAGTAATAAAGTTAAAAGAGAAATGACAGATTGGGACAAAACACTTGAATCATACATTACAGAATAAAGGGTGTTACAGTCCATTATTTAAAGAGTGCTCCCAAGTTAATGAGAAAAATAAATAACATACTTGAAAATGGCAAAAGATAAAATAAGCAATTTTCAGGCGAAATTGCAAGTGGCTAGCAAATGGCTGAAAAATATGTTCAACCTCATTAGTTGTAAAAAAAATGTACAATAAAAGGACATGAGCTGTCTTTTTTTTTTTAACCTATCAGATTTGCAAAAAACTAAGGGACCTGATTTGCTATATCAGTTAAAATGAATGAATATACCATATAGGCCATGAAGGAGAGATGTCAGTAATATGTCGGTAGGTTAAAGAAGCAACCTGTAGAAAATTGTACATTATATTATGTCACTTTCATAAAACTTCTTAAAAAACAAATTTAAGTAGAATTTATGTTAACAATTAATTATTTATGCATTACGAATACCCAACATTATCTTATATAGTAGCTATCTTTTGGAATAGCACTACAATGAGAGTAAGCATACATCTGTAATCTTTGGATTACTTTTCGGCTGGAAAACATTCCTTTTATTATGCTTTATTTAACACTCATCAGGCTGAATAACTGATCCTTAAGAGATAGTTACAAGTCATTAGTTCAGGGGTGTAATTGAATTGAGTATTTTATTAATACAGAGCAGTATTTTATGGCATTTCAGTCAGCTCTGATTAAATTCTTCAAATCAATCCTGTTGAATTGGGTCATTGAAAGAGGGTTCTGGCCCTAACCCATGGCTGGGGTTAGGATCTGGTCAGGACTCCTTTAATCTTTAGGTTCTTGGGTTTTGTGCAAGGACTGAGGTAGAACTGCGTCCTCTGTCAGCTGTGATTATCCTATGTGACATCCAAGGACACTCCCCATCTGCCCCAGGAACATCCAGAGTGTTAACTAAATCACAATACCCTGGAACCCAGGCCATCAGCACTGTTGAAAAAGTCAATGTAAATAAAGTCTTGTGATTAGTTTGAACTTGCTTTCAAGTTGTTTGTTAGCAAGGAGTTAACAAGTTCAGACCTTTGGCCATCTGGGTCTTTAAGGAGAGCTTTTTTCCCCATTCCAATGACTTCCTGTTCATGGGAAAATTAGAGGAAATGAACCCCTAACAGGAGGATGGACCCACCCTTTTCCAGTCGTGTGGCTTAATTTGTCAGGTGTAATATTGGCACCTGGTGGCTTGTATTGGCTTCCTGCCCACCCTTGCTGGGGAAGTATCCACATACTTGCAATAGGCGGTAGAAGACTTCAAAGCCATTTGTAAGAGAAAGGATATTGTCATTAAAGAACTTAATGGTGAATACTCCCATTTAGTGATGTCAAGATAAAAGGAAAATTTTAAAAACACATTATCTAGAATTTTTTTCTGATGTATCATATGACCTGTTAAAACAAAGTAATGTAGTTGATTTAGTAACAATACATTTTTAAGGATATGTATTTATTGACAGAGTGTTTAGCTTTCTTGCTTTTGAGAAATTAACAAAGGTGTCAATTATTTATAAGAAGATAATGAATTGCTTCTTTAAGGATATAATTCTCTTTGCTCAAATTCACCTTTAAATAGGTACTCTCTTTGTGTTTACTAATGGAATTGTTTCTTTTGAATCAAAAGGGAAGAACTACAACAATATCAAGTGGATCTGGTAAATGAAAAAGAATGATATGGGTTTTCAGAATTCATTAGGAATTTTGGATGGATATAGCTGGTTCAGTTC